AATTCAATTTAACACAATAATTTATTATGTTTTAGTATTGAGTTTTTTCTTCATTTTTGTTTTTCAGATTCATAAATGCATATATTGCAAACATTGTTAAATTCATTTAAATTAAATTTAGAAAATAAATAAGTTTTACTTAGAACTACAAAAACAAAAAATCGTAAAACAAATTTACAAGGTAATCGTAATTCTAGAGGGGGAGAGAGGGGATTTTTTGTGGGTAATAAATATTTATAAACAAAACAATGACTATATAGTTTACAAGTTACTTATGTATTCGATTTCATATACATATAGGGTTAATATATGATGTGTTTTTTTGTTGTTATTTATTATATAAATTTTTTCCTAATTACGTAGTGTGCCAAGAATATTATTATTTTTTTTTAGTTTTTAACAAAATTATTTTATTACAAATACATTTATTTGCTTATTGATTTGATATTGCACAATATTGAAAAGGGGATTTTTTATTAAAACATATTTATATATAACAGATTTTTTATTATATAAAAATTGACACATTTATAAATATTATATATTATTTTTTTAAGTTTAAACTTTTTTGGCTAATTTAAATTATTTACAGTATTTTTTATACAATTTAAAAAGGCTTTATTTTTATGAAATAAATACTTTTCGAATGGAAATCAATGACAATTAACAAATTTTGGGAAATTTTTATAAATTGATTTTTTTTCTGTAATATAATATTCCGAAATTCTGTCTGCTTGGTAAGCAGACATTTTTTTCATATAAAATATGTAGAGGCCAATTTTATTTATATTTGAGAACTAAATTTCTTTATAAATATATTTTTATTGTCCTCTGCATCTTTTATACTGGGAATATTTTTGCTGTTTAGCCCTTTTAAATTATTTTTTAACTTATTTCCTATTATTAATATTTATATATGTACGTAATATTTTTTATTTTTTGTTTGTTGGCTGTTTTGTTATAGTTAAACTTAAAATTTTGTTATTGTGTTTATTTTTTTTTCTTTTTTTGGGAAAATAAAATATTTTTATTATTATTTTATTTGACTATATAAAAACCCCACACAAAATTATATTTTTTCGGAAAAAATTATTTTGTTTTCTTACGGGGTTTTTACATTACATTAATTTGAGGAACTTTTTATACCATACACTTCTTTTGTTTTATTTTTAATTAAATAAACAAATAATTTTCACAAAAATTACAATTAATATATATGAGAGCGACAGAGGGAGAGAGAAGAGATAGAACGAGCTAGAGAATGAAAGTGTTTCCTATGGATTAAAGTTATGAAATATTATAGAGGCCTTTTTAAAAAATACAGAATTATTTTGAAATGTGTTTAAATGAAAACATTCAGAAAAAAAGGTTTTGACTGCCTACAGATTTTGAAGAAAATATATATAACATTTTTGTAAAAAAAAGTATTTAGATCTTCGCACTATTATGTGCTCGAATATTACGGAAAATATTACATATAAATATAAAATTAATATATATATATATATATTTTTCAATAAAGCCCCTTTAATATTTCCATAACATTTCTGAAAAATATTTTTTATATATAGTCCTTAACTAATTATTTACATTTAACAAGTATTTACTTATATATTATATTAATGAGGTATATATTTTGTTAAATTATTTACACTTTCATATATGTATTGTTATATATATGAAGATAAGTAAGACTGTACAAAATTTTTGGTAGGCTATTCTATATTAAGATAAATTCTTTAAGTTGAGTTTTTTTGTTTGTGAGTGTAAACCCTGTTTGTTTCTTGTTTTAGGGGGTTTGATTAATTTTTTTTCATTGAAGAGGTATTGGAGGTATTCGGTTTGTATATGTTTCCTGTTTGCTTTACTTTTTGTTCAAAAAAAAAAATTTTTTTTTCAAAATGTTTCAATATATAAATATTCTATATTGTTTGATTTTAATAAAATTGAATAGAAGGAAAAAAAATTTTATATTCAAAAACAAGTAAAACATATGAAAATCAGAAGATTTCGAAAAAGGTCATAAAATAATCTGCCATATATCAAAGGACTATGCACAATATTTAAAAGTGAAGCTGGAATTGGAACATACAAAAATTAGGTTTTGAACAATCAAATTATATTTTTGGTAATCTCAAAAAGGTGAAAGTTTCAAAGAAATACCTTAGGATGGCATAGGCATATATGTTCCTGTCATAAAGCAAAAGGCAATATTCTCAAAGCAATCCAACAAAACTGATATGATTTGTGGATTAAAAAAATAGGTTTTGGAATAAATAAATTTGGGCAAATAAATATACAGCAGCCAGATTTGGTATTTTTACAGCTTGAAAAGGTTCGTGAGAGGACATTGTTACTCACTTCAATTAGTACGAAGGAATTTTGAAAAAAAATACGATTGCGATACTAGATCCCAGGTGAGAAATATATCCATATGAGTATTATTAGTGGCCGTCCGTTTTTTTTATTATTTGGAAAAATTGGCGACTCTTCCTCTTTGGACTGTAAATTCTGAGCGGTACGCCACTATTTATTTGACTAATGTCTTCAGAGAAATTCGGAAAAAAGACGCAACATTTTGCACCATGACAAGCGACCTGTCACACGTCGGTTCAAACTAGCCGCTTTTTGACCAATAAAAAACTTGGAATTGATAAGTAATTCGATGTTCGACTTGGCACAAAATTGCACATCAAGAACAAAAGTGTTTATAATTCATATTATGGATGTTTCTCAATTGTGAGTGCATGAAAAGTTGTATAAATCATATGAGAGAATATATTTGAGCCATGTATGCAGGTTGGGAATTATGACATGTGTTCTTAAAATTCTATGTTTTTTTAATTTTGTGTTTTTTTAATAAAAAATGCCTTTATATCGAACCGAAGATTGTTTGGGCGCGCAAAAATACAAAACTACTTCCCAGATCATGTTTCATGTATTGTATGTGAAATTTTCGAATTTTTCTAACGATGTCCAATTTTCAAAAAATAAATAAATGTCCTTTGTAACATTCCCAAATTATGTGCCATGATTCTTGCGGAACAATTTGGGATATATTTAATATGGGCTCCTATTGTGGTCTTACTTGTTTTCACATGCAATTATTGAAATAAATAAAGAAAACAACAACAAATAAATTTAAAAAAAATTCAACATGCGAAGACAACAACAAAATAAAAACAAACATTCAATTTAAGAATTGAGGAGTCAAGAATAAAATTGGAAATATAGATAAAAACCTTATGCTCTCGTACTTTTTTCAAAATAAAAATAAATTTTAAGAATTAAGAAAAAAAAAAATTTATTGTTTCCAAAAATTATTAGATTTTCCTGTTTAAAATTATTCAATATTAAAAATATATTCAATATTTTTTTTCATGTTAAAAATATTCAATATCTTTTTATCTTAAAAAATAATCAATATTTTTTCATACTAAGAAACTATTGAATATTTTTTCATTGTAAATATATTCAATATTTTTTCATCATAAAAAATATACAATTTTTTTATGTTAAAAAATATTCAATATTTTAATTTTTATATTTTTTATTTCTAAAAATATTCAATATTTTTTAATATTTAAGTTTTGAGAATAATAAATATTTATTAATTTTTAAAAAATATTCAATATTAAAATATCTAATATTGAATATTTTTATGATTTAAGAAATATTCAATATTTGATTTTTAATTTATTTTTCGATTTTTAAATTTTCAATATTTTTAATTTGGAAAATATTAATTTTTTAATCAATGAAAATATTTGAAAAATTGTTTTAATATTTTTATACAATATTATTTGAATTTTTTTATTCAAATAATATTTTATTTTTTTTATTGGAAATATTTTTAACATTCTGAATTTTTATTTATTTTTTTAAATATTTTCATAAAATATTATTTGAATTTTATTATTCAAATAATATTTGTTTTAATCCCAATATTTCTTTAAACTTCCCACAAAAAATATTTTCTAAATCCCAAATTTCAAAATAAGAAGAAAAAACAAAATAAAAAGAGCACAAGGTTTTTTGTTTTAAATTCAAATAATTTGCCAATTATTTTTTTATTTATTTCAAATTTGTTTTCATTTTTTTTCTTCCATCAAATTCACACCTAAATCAATTGTAACTAATTTTTTCATTTCATTTCAAAAAAACAATAATAATAAGTATAAAAAAAACAATGCATTTTTTCAGTTTAAAATCAGTAGAAACAATTATTATTTTTTCAATTTTTCAAAAAATTAAACTTAAAGTTAATTTTGATTTGTTAAGAAACAAAAATTTCTTAAAGAATTTGTTTTTGATTTAAAAAAAATATATAAAACTACAACTTAAACAACTAATTAATAAGTAATAATAATAATTAAAAAAATATATAATTAATAATAAGGTTTGTTTGTCATATGTGCAATTTGTCAAAAAGGAAAATTAAAATGTTTGGTTTTATGTACAATTCAATTTGTGGGCTATATACAAATTCATTTCCTTTTTTGATTGGTTTAAATATATACAATCTTGAGGCAACGTTCAAATATAAAATAAAAAAAAATAAAAATAATAAAAAAGAACTTAAAAATAAAACTTAAAAATAAAATGGCACTGTTTGCAAGAAACCAAATTTCATTTTTCTTTGTACAATTTAAAATTTTTCTATGTGCAATTGATTGGTTTTTGGGTTTTTTGTTTTAACTTACGTTCTAGAAAAAATGTGATTTTTTTCGAGTTGTACTTGGGGATTTCATTTTTAGTTTTAGACCTGTTTTGAGTTGATGCGTCTGTGTGCAGGATGCATGCGTTTTTTTGGAGAGGGGGTTGGCAGCACAAAATTTTAGAAATTTTGCCCGAGTGTGGTGCGAACATTTCCATTTGATGGAGAATGCAAGATTTAGATTTGCTAATTAGATTTGGTTACAATCTTTGGGATTTGCGTCATGACTAAGAATTCTTGGAATTGTCTTCTTCGTTGTATGCTGAGGCTCTTATTGAGGCTCTTATTCCATACGCTCATGTTTGAGTTGTTGCTGTTGTTGGCGCATATACATGGTGGCAGCATCATCCAATTCATCCAAATCCAAATCGTCTTGCATCATGAGCATGGGTTCGGGGCTTTGGGCAGCCGATGAGGGATTCGAGGCAACATGGTTGCGTGGCGAATGCATGCTCAAATCCTCGGGTTCAGTTTGTTCGGGCATATCGCTGGGCACATGCATAATTTGTGGGGGAGGCAAGCGGAAGACACGGCGAATGTCATTTGCTTTGCGGAAACGCATGGCCTCAGTTTCATCGGTTTGGCTACCATCTTCGGACAAATCCAAAGGAGCTTCTTCTTCCATGTGAGAAATGCCGGCCAAGTGCATGATCGAATGGCTGACCAAGGATGGCTTGGTGACTTCCATTGATTCCTCAGAGCCATAGAAGGACTTTTGGTCACAGTTCATGATGTTGTAGTCACCGCTCATGGCTGGGCTCAAGGCTGGAGTGATGGGCGATTGAACACCGCACTTGTGGTTCATCAAGTGGTGGCGGCGTCTGAACTTCATGTGGCACTTCTCGCATTCGAAGGGCTTTTCACCATTATGGACCAACATGTGGGATTTCAATTGGTTGCTGTCGCTGAATTTACCATCGCAAATTTCGCAAGTGTAGGGCTTTTCGCCAGTGTGGACACGCAAGTGGCGACGCAAGTTAGCAACTTGAACGAATTGGCGATCGCAGTGCGAGCAGTGATAGGGTTTCTCGCCAGTGTGCAAACGCATGTGGGTCTTCAAATGGTGATCACGGGTGAAACGCTTGTGGCATTCGGGGCACTCGAATGGTTTTTCGCCAGTGTGGGTGCGTTCGTGGTTTTGCAAGACGTGCTTGTAGCCGAATGAGCGGGAGCAAATTTTGCAGGTGAAGCTCTTGTCACGGGAGGCACCATCCTTTTGACCATTACCGGCAGGGCTGGACACATCATGAGACGAGCTGTTGGGTGAGGAGCCAGATGAGGGTGGTGAAATGGGACCGGGCATGTTGTACATATCGCTGACACTCATTGACATTTCCATGCTGGGCGAGATCAAATCTTTCTTGACATTGATTTTGCGGGCTTTCTTGGCGGGCATGTCGCACTGCATCGAGGCCGTGGGTGAAGTCATGCTCAACGAGTGTTTGCCGCTGCTAGGTGTGTTCACATTGATGGGCGAGTGAGGTGAGGCAGGTGGTGAGTGAGGGGCTCCCATAGCTAGACCGGCGGCGGCGGGATTGCCAGCGGCCCAGGAACCGAACAATGTGGCGGGATGATGAGGGAACAATGTGGAGGCCAATGTGGACATGGGTAATTGGGCGGCCATGAAGGCAGCTGCTGCTTGGCGGTTGGCAGCCAACAATTGTGTGGGTGAGAGCATGCCGAAGGCAGAGGCTGCGGCGGCTTGTTGTAGACCGGGATACATGGCTGTGTTGGCGGATGTATTGGCAGACATGGGTGGCGATAACGATAATGAACGATCAACTTCTTCACGCTGTTGCATGCCAGCTAATGCGGCGGCTAGTGCTAAAAGGAAAAGAAATAGGAAAATATAAGTTAGTAATGTTTGATATAAATTTTTAATCCTTCGATGATTGGGATTTTGTGCAATTGTTTTTTAATATTTGTTTTTTTTTTAATTTCTTAATACTTACTTCTTGTTTGAGCGTCTTGTAGCAGTGATATAGCCATAGTATGTGTTGTGTGTGTGGGGGGTTTGTTTGGTTTTTTAGCAAATTTTTATTTCGTGTCAAAAACACGAAATTTTTTTGTTGTTGTTCACAAAATAATCCTTGGGTTTGGTTTTTTTGCGTAAATCCTTGTTGTTTGTACTTTGTTGTAATTTAAAAAAAGTTATTCACAATTTTCTTTTTTGTTTAAAGAAAATGAGGTATTTTTCGGTTATGTGAGAGGTATTTCACGTTCTTGTTATGTTTTTTTTTTCGTAAATCCGTTTTTGTTTTTCTTAAGACACTAAAAAATGTTGTTTTATTTTTTGTGTTTCTTAGATGTCTTCGTCTTGAGGTTTGTTGGAGAAATGATATGCTCAGTAGGCAATCCTTGTATTTTATACACTTTTTAAATATCCTTTTTTGGGGGTGATGATGATGTGTGTGTTTGAGTTTGGAGTAAAAATATCCTTTTTGTTTGTGGCGATGTTGTTGTTGTACAATACTCGATTATAAAATATTACGTTACACTTTTATTTATTTCTTTTTTAACTTAGTTATAAAAATTATTTTATGTGAGTTAATGTTGTGTGAGTGTGTTTGTTGTATATTTTATAATGTTATATTTTTCTGTTTGGTTAATTCTTAGATGATGATGTTCTCTGTTAAAGAAGCAAATCACAACTGATACTTTCACTGTGCTCAGTCAGAGTATATGTACTCTTCGCTCAGTGGTAGATGGTTATGCTCATTTTCCCTAACAACCCTCACACAACAAACCCTTGTTTGCTTTCTTCGTACACACGCACGCACACACAGGCACATCCACTCAACAATGAAATGCACTCTTCCGTTTATTGGGTTACTCTCAGGCAGGCGTGTGTGTGAGTCCGTGTGTTTTGTTACTCTTCTCTCTCTTTCGTGTATTTTGTATGGGCACTCTCTTAGCGACCGTGTTTGTGTGTGCGTGCCTTTTTTAATAGGAAACAGGTAGTTTTTTCACTCACATCTCTTTGTTTTTTCTTGGTTGGGTGTTTTTTTGTTGCTTGATCCGTCTCCGAGTTCCTTTTTTGTCTACCTACCCTTTTTGTTATGTAAATTTGTAACGTCTGTGTAATTGTTGTTGTATTTCTCCTTTTCCGTAGGTGCTGTATAATTGTTGTTGTGCTTAATCTTAGTGGCTTTACAATTACAAAAAACTAGAGTAGCCTGTTTTATTTTTTTTTATTACACTCGTCATAAAAATGCCTGTAGTTAAAAGTCATGTTTGGTCGTTTATTGTTGTTGTTATTTTAAGATTTCCTTGAAGGGGAAATTACATGTAGAAGAATATTACGTCAATTTTTATGATTTGTTGAATATACATAATTGTAACGCGTGAGGATGTTGTGGAATATTAGAAAATTTCATAATTTTAGTTTTGTAATTTAAATTTAATTGAAATATGAAATCAAAGGGAATCCGATATTTATTAAGTGTGAATTTAGTATTTTGCAATATTATTATCACATTGTAAAATATATATTTACAAATATAAGTTGAAGGAAAAAATTGAATTTTCATTTTTAATCCTTATAAAGATTGACAGGAATTTCTCAGAGAGTTAAAAATATTATTTTTTTAGTTTCTGTGGGCGAGAGATTAACAAATGTTCAGCGTATCAAGTGTGAATTAGTATAGAAATACAAAGACATTTTTGAAGGAAAAAATTAAAATAACATTTTAAAACTATTAATAATTAAAATAATATTAATAAAAAATAATATATTAAGTGAAGGAAAACGGTTTCTATGACAGTAGATCTAAAAAATTCAGCACATTAGGAATTATGCATTTTTTGGTTTAGAGAATATTGGACTTGTCTTAGCTCAAACGTCTTTAAAATCTGGTGTTATATGTAGTATTTTATGAAATATCAATTTGAGGTCGTATTACTACGGAAAATTTAATGGAGTTAAAGATATAAAAAATATCATTATTAAATTTTCTATGAAATCTAGAAGAAAATATCTTCGGGGAATGAAAATTTAAATATGTGATTTCGGAGAGTATATGAGATTTTTAATATTATTTTTTTCAATCAGGGAGATATATGACTTAAATGATTTAATATATATTAGAAAATATTATTCTGAAGAAGTTAGGACTGGCTGAAAATATAATTTATATATGAATACGTTAGAAAATATTTTGCTGACACAAAATCATTCATTATTGATTAAAATATGACATTTTTGAAACTTATTATTATTTTTTCTAATCCTACAACAACTTTTTTTATTTTATTATTTTTTGGAATTTATCTCAAGATAAATATAAAACAAAAATAAAGTTAAATAAATACGCATAATATTTTTTCATATAATTAATAAATAATTTAATATTTTACTAAATTCCTAATTTTCATACGATTTTGAAATCGTTCATTTCAATACAAATTTTTTAATAAAATCACACAAAACATTTTTTACATAAATTTTATTATATTGAATAAAGATTGTTATTTAATGAATTTATTTCTTCTTGAAATTTAAATAAGAAAGATTACTTGCTCATTTAATTTATATTTGTATAAGATTAGCATTTTTTAGAATCATTTGTTCATAATATTAATAGGGTTTATTATTAAATTAATATAATATTAAATATGTAGCATTTTTCCTACAAATTTTGACTTAAAATCCCTATCAAAAATTCAATATTCATTAAAAAATAAACACGTCAAAAATAATTTTTTGTGAAAGTATATTTTTGACACATAAACATTTTAATTTTTAGGAATTATTTTGTAAAATATTGTAGATTTATAATAAAATAGAAATATTTTATAAAATAGAATTAACAATGTTTATTGTATTAAAAATTTGTACATTCTGCAAGTTCTGGTACATTTTGTTAAAAACATGGTTACTTCATATCTTTATGTTTTAGAATATTATTGTAAAAAAATTACATATTTTTCTAAGATCCTAATATTTTCCCTATAAATTTCCCCTTAAAATTCAACCAACAAAAACTCAACAACATTTTTCCTTTTTATTATTAATACTACTTGACTACAACAGAAATAATTCACTCACTACAACAACAAAAATAATTAGAATACAACTCATGCCTTCCTATTCAAGGCATTAAACATACAACCCACCAGCCATCCATCAAATACATGAATAGGGCCCCCTTTTTGTGTTTGCTCCAAGCATAATGAGTGAGTAAATAGGTTTCTTCTTTCTTATTAAACAACAAAAGGAGACATGCAAGCAACCAACAACAACATCAAAGACCCAGCATAACTAATACATTGTCTTGCTGAACTTCGGTTTTTTATCTCAGTGTACGTACAAAACACCATTTATGTAAATAATACGCACACTACAAATACATTGGAGTCAGTCGGTGTTTTATTTTTTGGCTCTCCTCGTTATTCTCTCTCTGTAATTTTCCCCCAAAAAAAGAAAATCATTCATTTGCCGCCTTAAGCAGTTCAGTTCCTCTTTCTTTTACGTTGCGAGTTTGCTGCTGTCGCTGTTGCGTTCGTGTAAAGGGCGCACACTCGTTACGTTGAAATTGTATAGTCCATCGTGTTTATGTGATGCTCACGAGTTGTAATACTTCTCGTATATAAGACACACATAATGATAAGTCGTAATACAATCAACCATACATAGAGACAGACGACACAGGAGCATACCAGTGTCTTTTGTTGATGTTCAATGTGGGTCCATGCGGAAACAACAACAACAACAGCACATGGCAGCAGAGAGGCTCCCTTTTTTGTTGTTTGCCGTTGTTGCTATTCATCCCCTTTTTACGGCTGGTTCGTGAAAGAGTGCCACTTACTGAAGTGAAATTGGAAGTGTGTGTGTGTGTGCGTGGAAGAGTACTACACTGCTCTCGTACTCTTTCCTACAGCCGAATGATGAGTATTTCCGTTTATCAAAAAACGCAGAAAAGGGAAGTAATGGGTATAATGGAATTTTTGTTGTTATTTTTGTATATTGCAGAAGGGGAGTTGAAATGAGTGGAGTAAAAAAACTGAGTGATTTATTTCAAATGTTTACAAAGGAGAAATTGAGTGATGAGGAAAAAGGGGAAATATATAGAAAGCGAGTAAGGGGAAATTGTATGAAGAATATAATTTAAATTAAAATATTTTAATTATGAATTATATAAAAATCTTTTTATTTAGTAAAAAATTTCAATTTTTATTACATAACTCTTTTTATGGATTTTATTAAGCAAATTAATTTTATTAGTTTTTTAGGGTAGTACCACTCTACCTCTTTGTTGTTTTTTACCACAGGTAATAAAAAACTGTGGTCAGTTTTTTATCATGCATTTTTTACAACTTTTATGACACTTCCTTTTTTATCGCCAAACCCTTTCTTCGCCCACATAAAAAACAGCCCTGCAGTTTTTTACCAACTACCTTACTTCCTTTTTGGGTGTGTGTATTTTTAACCATAGTTTTTTATAATTTTATGATCTTCCGTTTGACTTTTTTACCGCATACATTATGAGTTAGTTCCTTAGACATGTGGTGTTGAAGGTGTTGTTGTTGCTACTCTTGTTCTCGTCTCCCAGCAGGTCATTTTTTAGGTAATTATTTAAAAATGAGGAACAAAAAATATGTAATGCAAGGACATTTGCCTGAGTAAGTGCGTGTGACCCTGTTCTAAGTTGTTGTTGGTTTTTGTTGTTCTTTTTGTAAGACATGTTGTCTAGTAGTGTATGGTAGTTGTTTTTAGAGTAGTGAAGTTCACTTAGAAACTAATTTGCTAGTTTTTTCTCTTGGTTTTAAGGAAGCTATTAATAGCTGTTGTTATTATTTTCTTGATCATTAATGTTATCAGTGACTAACCTTTATGCTTGGTTAGTGTTGGTTACTAGAAGCAGTGAGTTTTTAGATTACTATT